CACAGAGGGCAACGCGTGAGCTGAGTTAAAGTACTCCCGCACGGCCAACATTCGTAGGCGCACTGGCTGACAAAGTCACAAGGAATGGCACGTTACTGGAACCTGCTAACTGAATCTGACCAAGGCGCTGAAGGTAGATTGTGAGATAACGAATTCTTTTACAGCTGTATTGATAAACGCCGGAAAGGAATAAGCTAAAGCTTTTCGAGCTGCCTCGAGGATTCTGTATAGAATGGTGTCACACAGGAAGGAAATCGGCTTCATTACGGATGTCGGTGAAAACCGTCAGTGCTTGCACAGACTCTAAGCGTAGAAGCTTGCCACTTATAATATATAAATAGGTAGAGCCGGTGTATCCGATTCGAATTAGCTACAATGCCAACGCTGCGAGAAGATGAAGTGAGGTCAGAGAGGAATAATCCAAATAAACCGGGAGAAGGCAACTCACGCGTCGTCGTCATGCAAAAGTCCCAGCCGATCACGACAATGACAAGTGCGCTTTGTAAGTTTAAGCGGACTGTGAGGCCTAGAGCGAATAGGTAGTTGACTGGGTCATGTGCTACGACTGCGGCCTTTGGTATCATCAGCTTTGCGCGTCGTACAACCGGCATGAGCATTTTACCTGCCATCGGTGTTTGTAAGTCTTCCCTTTACATGTTTCGCTTTTTCGTACATTTATTACTGCGCGGCTGCCTCCGCTTGGTCAGTAAGTACTCCCACTAATCCCAAATGCTGTGCCTACCCTAGGTGGAGGGTATGGCACGTATGCCTGCTGCGCCTTCCGCTCACACATGATAGGTGTGGGCAGGTATATATAAGGCCAACAAAACACCCACCATTATGCCACCTTGTGTTGATAGGTATGCTCTCCCAGGTTCCCTTAGTACAACTTCCTCTGCTAACCAACCTGAATAGCCGCTGTGGTTCGTCAAGCACTTGGATCACATGTATCGAAAACTAAGAACTAGGCTTGAATTCTTATTGGTCCTACATGTATTCGTTGCGCTTGCACTGCATTTGTGACGATCCCCTTACATCCCAGCTGCTTATTGATCAGCAGCGCAGTGATGAGTGTGCATGACCTCATCTACATGTGCCTGAACATTTTGTCTGGACCTGAACAGCTTATGAGTTTTATAAGCTTTCGTGCATTTTCTAGACACGCTTCTTTCAACGACTACCCTAGCCATTCTGCCATAACTAAGGTAACCCTGCCGGTTAATAAAACTATCCATTTGACTTACACAAGGTGTTTTCAGGGTCGTTCCGGCGGTCACCATTTCGTGGCCCTTGCTTTACTTCATTTCTGTCATTGAGTTAGCACAGCAACCGCAGGCGGCATCCTCATCGTTAAAAGGAAACTGCTGGTGCGGCGTTACATAAGACTTGTGCCATTCCGGCTCCTTCCGTGTCCTAACGAACCATATCGTGTCTAGCTATCCACACTTGACAACGGTCATCTTGGTGACTGTTGTCAATTGTGGATAGCTAGACACGATGTCTTTACACTCCCGAAAATTATACATAATCTGAAAAATGCAAACACCAAACATTTTGAAATTTTTACTCACCTGTACACGCAAAAATACTACTCTTCGTGACTCTCCCATCCTCAACCGGCCTCGATGACCATGGTGGCCCTGTCCAAGCTATCTGGTCAGCCAACAGAGGAAATTGGAAGTCGTTCAATTGAGAATAAGTGAGTGTGAAATCGATCGGCACGCTGCTTTGTCAGTTGTACATCAGTCTTCAAAATGCTTTACCGCAGGGTTTTAGGACGTGCTAACTTTTTGCCTGGCAACTGTTCTTCCTATAAAAGGCCACAAATGTCCGTTAAACAACACTGCGACGTGGCGAATTTGATTCGCCACTGAATAAGTTCACCGCTCGCAACTACATATTAGTAAGTCGACTAGAGTCATAGTTTAAGCGTTCCTCGACTTGTACAAGAATAACATGGTCTATGTCTACATCCACCGTTTTTACTAGATTTATAGTGTCTTGACTATTTACACTAAGCACACTTGAATCCAAAGTATCCACCTCAACTAACGACTATACTCCTCATGATTACTACTTCAATTTCCGTAGCATGTACAGATTTCGGCCACTGCCAAGTACGTACATAGTAGCGTGTCTGATGCGAAAAATAACTGCCTGTAAGTGTGGATAACGCCTGAGCTAATGTGCCACGATTAATTCGAGAATACACTAGGTACTTTTCATACCTGTCCATATATGAAGGAAATAAGATGAACAAATTAATGGCCTGAAAACGAACGCGGCAACATAGAACACGGCACGGGAATGCAGGGAGAAGTGGAAAATATTAAACACTATTAATATAAAGGACGACGGGTAAACAACTGACTTATCCCAGCGACTCTCACACTGCTAACCTATTGTAGCTGGAGTGGCCGACTCAGACTAACAGGTCTGAAGTCTTCGCCTTAGTCTACGGGCAAGTACGCTTCCCATTGATGAAAGAGAAAGTACTAAGATGACGGGACGAAAGTGTATTGTGGTACACTGTTCCCGGGTATTGGTTAAAATACGACACCGGACGACGTGAGCTAGCTAGCGGAAGGACGCGAGGGACCGCGCGATGATGCGGGGTGTTGAATTCAACCGTGACGCCGTGCGTATAATTTCGCGCGAGTGTTTGGTCAGACAAACAAGTGCAACGTATATATCAGCATGCTGAAAACAAATTCTAAGTGTAGAATAACTTTATTTAATATTTTACACAACCTACTCATGATCTCCGGGGGAAGTTTCTGACTGCTACACAGTCCTCCCTCAGAAAGAATTGTGTAAACAATCCTTCGCTCTACTTGAGGATTATCCTTCGCGGACCGGCCTTCTGCGAGACCAGTCGGTGGAACCTGCTGCAGCTTCTGGGGGAGAACCAGGCGATCGGATATTAGCGGGCCCCCACCCCTGTCCTCCCTAACAGTGTTGAAACGGAAATATGCTCGCAAAATGGTTCGTAAGGGGTAACAGTTTGACGGGAAATGTCCAGTGTACAAGTTGAGGTGTCCGGCTGTAACATAAACTTGCGACCTATATGCCGGGCGCACATGCAAAAATAAAAAACGACAATTACGATACTGCATAGCAACAACAAGTGCTAAACTAAATTCACCAGAACAAATTCTTGTGGGTTTTAAAAACGTTTTAATCTGCATTTGTGGTGGTTACGAAACATTTTGACATCCTTTGCTATTTGTAGAAGTCGTAAAGGGTATCTAAGTAGAAAAATGCAATGCATGGGCAAAACGATGAGGAAAATAAATCTGTCGGCCAGACTGACATTCTTGTTGCACTGGAGGACATTGGAGACTTTTCAGCGGACGTCGTTGGATTGCTAGGACTGTGCTTTGCTGGTGGTGGAACGAACGTATTTATGGAGGCATTGTCCTTGTCTATATGGGTGACTTTTAAGCGATTAGCAGATGCTGCCTCACCTTTCCCGTAGCGCTAAATGACATATACTTGGTTCCTCCGTTGAAGAACCCTAACTGGCCCTTCATATAGCGGATCCAGGTGTCGTTTGACGCCGTCAACTCGTATGCATGCATGCATACAATTTTGGGGCTCTGGCGAAACCAAGGTTTTATGGCTCTGAACACGGGAGTGAGCAAGTACGAAACGCCGCGTGCATGACGCAATTTGTTTCGCAAAAGTGGCGTCACAAACGATGGCGTCTGGAGCTGTAGAAAATTAGTCCCTAGGTAGACGAAGTGCTTGACCGAAAAGTAGTTCGGCGCTAGATACTTGTAGGTGAACTTTGAGGCTAGTAACTATGCGTCAATTCGAACTGCCTGTCTTCCATTGCTGTCGGGCTGAACTCCTGCTGTGACCCGTGGCTTTCATTGAAATGAAAGCAGCAGTAAGCTCTGCCGGCTCAGTAGCTATCCCTTCACAGCACCGCCTCCCACGTCCGACGTTAAAACGTATCTGCTGCTCGTGTGCATGAACACTGTCTTAACAAACCAGTGATTTAACCCAAATGGAACGTACACTACACCAATGTCATTTTCATAACGACCGGCTTCTCCTCAGGTATGCATTATCTCCACTTCTGATTACCGGTCAACCTGGCTCTCCTTTATGACTGGAAATATGCATTTAACACATTACTCTGACTTCCTTCACGTCTGTCCCAACTATTTCTGTTATCCTTTGACATTCCCTGACTTGAGACGTCTGCCGGCTAATTGGCTGTCCCTTTACAGTTCTGAAACCACGTCCTATTGGAGTACTAGACGAATAATTATGCACTATCTCTAATACGACGGGCTCCGCATCATAACTTGATGAACGTTTTTCACATCTCTGCCCATCTTTCAAGCCTTTTTATTACTTCCCCTTTTCAGCACCCTGCACCTACATTGTAGCTAAAGCGAGCATACTGTCTGCTGCTGATAGTCACGAGACTGTTCAAAACTTGCCGTTAATCCTCTTTAAACTTCCTCAACGATTAGCTTCTCCTGCTTTGTTTTACCTCTACTTACTATCCGTCTAGCTGGTCAACCTATAGGATTGACTCCATATCAGAAAATTGCGTGTTCGGGTCACGTCGAGGTCACCAATTTAGAGGGTCGCCTGTACCGGGATCCCGATGCGATTCGAAAAGACGGATCCAGTTGCAGAGAAACTTGTATTGGTACAGTAAAAGATTCCTTGTTATCTAGCTATAAAAGAACGACACCGTGGACGCCCTAGCTAGGGGAATGGAGCATGCAGAGCCCACAAGGCAGTACCGCGTTGCAGCCGAAGCCAGCGCCAAGCAAAAATGGTGATGAGAAAGTCAAGCATTCGAACTCAGCACTCAGTTCAACAAACCACACCGGTTGCCTAGGTGTACAAGAAAATAATTTTAGTTAGAATTTTACACAGGCAAACCAGAGAATCTCCTGTCCCACCAAGCAATCTGGATGTGCTGCACGAACTGCAGGCCATAAAATGTAAGACGCCACAGATGTATTGCATTGCACTCAGCCTTATTTTTAGATGAGTTGTGTCTCATTCGATCAGAATTGGTCGGCCATCACCGCATGTCCAAAGCGATGTTGTAAATGCTACAACGACAATTTCAAAGTGTTGCGCCGGGACTATCTCTGCCATTCATCTCCCTCAGTGAGCTAAAGAGATATGATGAACGGCTGAAGGACCCCGATTTCAATATCACAGTCGTAAGTTCGTCTTATTATTCAACTACTTTAGGTCAACCATTTATGTGCTGTGCACGGTGATAACATACAACTCATCGTCCGGGGTACCATGGAGCGGCTAATGACAAGATCAGTTGCCGCTAAGATAAATTACTCCGGCGCTGGAGGTTCGTTTGCTTTCAGGCGAACAAATATGAACGGCCTTGTACAAGGTAGGTTGAAATGCAGTAATCCATAAAAAACTACCAAGGCCTCATTCGGCAACCCATGGGTGATGCAGCCTCGGATGCTGACATTACACGGCACATCAAAACGTGGTTGCATTCTGCACGGCACAAAAGACCGCCGGTTGAGCAAACTAAAGTATGCAATGCGAATGAGGTGAGTCCCCTGCTTCCTTAGGCACATCTTTAGCCTCCTACGTTGACATTCGCGGAAGCGGATTAAGAGTATTGACTATGCCGCTTTCTGCTACTAACGTTCTTTGTACTGCACCCCTTCATGTATATATAGAATTCCTATACCTCGGTTTTAATTTTCTTTCGCCTTGTGATGTCAGGTGCGCGGTGAGAGCGGTTTCCTTTTCTGACCAACAGCTTTGAGTCGCCGCCTAGGTGGGTTCCCAAGTCCAAAAACTACCGCAACTGGTACCGGGTGAAAACTAGGTCCGAGCCGTCTATATATTCGTTAGGCGCATAGTGCGTTCAAGTGTGTTGTCCGTATTCGGATACCCATGGAAGGCAATGACGGGATGTGGACCAACCGGATTGTCACGCATAGTGGTGAATTTCTATTGGTCAACGCTAGCATCATCTTCATTGGTGCAACCTAAACTGGACAGGAACCCTTTTTAGCCGTCTCACGGTAATACTTCCTGTCCAGTTTAGTCTAATGCTCTCATAGGAACGTTTAGGATGCTAAACTGGACAGGACCTGGACATGTGCTACCAGGGGACCGGCTTCTCCTCAGGTATGCATTATCTCCACTTCTGATTACCGGTCAATCTGGCTCCCCTTTATGACTGGAAATACGCATTTAGCACATTTCCCTGACTTCCTTCACGTCTGTCCTAACTATTTCTGTTATCCTTTGACATTCCCTGACTTGAGACGTCTGCCGGCTAATTGGCTGTCCCTTTACAGTTCTGAAACCACGTCCTATTGGAGTACTAGACGAATAATTATGCACTATCTCTAATACGGCGGGCTCCGCATCATAACTTGATGAACGTTTTTCACATCTCTGCCCATCTTTCAAGCCTTTTTATTACTTCCCCTTTTCAGCACCCTGCACCTACATTGTAGCTAAAGCGAGCATACTGTCTGCTGCTGATAGTCACGAGACTGTTCAAAACTTGCCGTTAATCCTCTTTAAACTTCCTCAACGATTAGCTTCTCCTGCTTTGTTTTACCTCAACTTACTACCCGTCTAGCTGGTCAACCTATATGAATGGCTCCATATCAGAAAATTGCGTGTTCGAGTCACGTCGAGGTCACCAATTTAGAGGGTCGCCTGTACCGGGATCCCGATGCGATTCGAAAAGACGGATCCAGTTGCAGAGAAACTTGTATTGGTACAGTAAAAGATTCCTTGTTATCTAGCTATAAAAGAACGACACCGTGGACGCCCTAGCTAGGGGAATGGAGCATGCAGAGCCCACAAGGCAGTACCGCGTTGCAGCCGAAGCCAGCGCCAAGCAAAAATGGCGATGAGAAAGTCAAGCATTCGAACTCAGCACTCAGTTCAACAAACCACACCGGTTGCCTAGGTGTACAAGAAAATAATTTTAGTTAGAATTTTACACAGGCAAACCAGAGAATCTCCTGACTGCTACATGCTACGTAGCCGTCTGCCAGAAGGGACTGTGTAAGTAGTCCTTCAATCTATGTGAGGGCTGTCCGTCGAGGGGCCAGCTTTCTGCGAGACCAGGTTGTGAAACCTGATGCAGCTGCTGTGGGAGAACCATGCAATCGGAACCTAGCGGGCTTCCACCCGTGTCCTCCCTACGGTGTCGAAACGGTAAAATCTGTTTGTGGGGGGACAGTTAGTAAAGTTCACGTAGGCGGTTGAACAGAAGTTCGTTCCACTTCCAATGGACTTGCGGGGATCCGGCGAAAAGTGAAACCGAGGTGCAACCAACCGACGGCGTATATGGAAAGCAAAATGAAGAAACAACATAAATGTATAGCCATGCACAAAAGGGTGCAAAGCGAAAACGTGCAGAGCTGTTTTTAGGTTTTCAAAAGGTTTTGTTCTTTTTGGTAGTTTCAAAACATTTTGGTCTTTTTTTGTGGATTTTCGAAAACGTTTGGTAAGAGCAGAAAATTTCAAAGACACGTTCTATGTAAACTAGTGAATGCTAACAAAGTCCGAGAAACGAACTGGAGGTTTGGGCTTCCTACTGCGTCGACTGATAGTAGGGCGAGTAGGAGTGCTGTCGGTTGAGGTTATCAGTTCAGCTGGAGCGAACTGACTCGCCTCAGGTTGCGGTGCGAGCTGTGATGGCGCAGGTTGTGAAGGTGCTTGTTGCACCGAAGAGTCAGACTTGTCGAGGAATGTTGGTTTGAGTCGATCGACGTTGATCGTCTTAGTCTCACCATTGTAGTCAATGGTAAACGTCTTGGCGCTTCTGCGTACGACACGGTACGGACCAGAATAAGGAGGTTGAAGTGGTCGGCGCACGCTATCTGTGTGGACGAATACGTGGGTGTAAGTAGCTAAGCTTTCGTCCACGTTGGTACGCAAGCTCTGTGCTCTGGGTTGCACAGGCTGAAGCTGTCGCATGTGATGAGACAGGCGAGCTGCGTAGTCGCCATAGTCAAAGGTTGTTGGCGCATTTGGTGAGACGAGTTCACCAGGTAAGCGTTGTGTGCATCCAAAGACTAGCGACGATAGAGTGGCGTACAAATCTGCTTTAATCGTGTTCCTTATGCCTAAGCGAACGAGTAGAAGTGCTTCGTGCCAGGATGTGTTAGAATGGGCACAGAGTGAGGCTTTGAGTTGCCGGTGGAACCTTTCTACTATCCCATTAGCTGCGATATGGTAGCGGTGGTTCGCTTATGTTGGCAACCGAGAATTTTGAGCCGTTTGCTGAAGGATCCGTCAAAGTGTGATCCTCTGTCAGTGATGACTACGCTTGGGCAACCGAATTGAGCTACCCAGCAGTCTAGGAAAGCTTGCGCGACTGCCTCAGATGAGCAGTTGACTACGGGAATCGTCTCTGGCCAACTGGTGAATCGGTCGACACAAGGTGATGGAGGCAAAGATCCGACCAGGTCGACATGGACATGTGCAAAACGAGAGTCAGGAGCGGGAAAGACGCCAAGTGGGCTTTTAGTTTGTCTGTTTACCTTGGCGCGCTGACACTCTAAGCATGCGCGTGCCCAAAGGCGGACATCGCGATTGACGTTAGGCTATACGAAGCGTTCAGTTAGGAGCTTCTGCGACTCACGTATGCCGGGATGCGACGGGTTGTGTAAAGCGTTGAAAACTAGTCGACGCATCGAACTAGGAACTACGGGTCGGGGAGAAGTTTGTGAGACGTCACAAAGAATGGTCCCCTCAGATGAAGCCAGTGGAACTTCGCGTAGTTTCAACGAGGTGTTGCGTCGTAGCTTGTCTATGTCGGCATCAGCTTGTTGGACAGCAGCCTTAGCGGCTAGATCAGTGTTGGTGCCAGGTGATAAGCTGATCTGCTGAGCTAGTGAAAGCGCATCCGCGACGGGATTGAGAGCACCTGAGACATGTCCTACGTCTGTCGTAAACTGAGAAACCTAGTCTAGGTGTCTAGTTTCCCGCGGAGAATACTAGTCCGTTGCGCCATTGATTGCGTAGAACAATGGCTTGTGTTCAGTGCAGATTGTAAAATGTCGACCTTCGAGATAGTGACGAAAGTGTCTGATACCTAGGTAAATAGCTAACAGTTCCCTACTGATGGTGCTGTAACGCGATTCGGCAGGTTGCGAACGTTTCGAGAAGAAACCTAGAGGTATCCATCGATGGTCGATGAGTTGTTGAAGAACTGCACCTACGGCAGTGTCGGATGCGTCAGTTGTCAGGGAGAGTGGTGCAGTTGTGACTGGATGGGCGAGAAGCGCTATGTTAGAGATAGCGTCTTTGAGCTTCTCAAAAGACTGTCTACCATGGTCTGCAGAATAAAATGACCGTTGTTTACCACAGAGAAAGTCAGTCATTGGTTGAACAATGCTCGCACAGTTAGGAATAAAGCGTCTATAATAGTTGACCAGGACAAGGAATCGGCAAAACTGTTTGAAGGAACTGGGAGCAGGATAGTCCTTCAGTGCCTGGATTTCGTCTGGCAGAGCATCGATACCAGAGGCGGCTATGCGGTGTCCAAGAATGTTGATTGAGCTTTGGCTATGCTCGCATTTATCGGGGTTGACGGTAACCCCATGCTGTGTTAAGCATTGAAAGAAACCGTCGAGATGATAAAGATGTTCCTCGTCAGAAAAGCTGGCGATTAGAATATCATCTAGATAAGGATTAACGCCTTCGAGTCCTCGCGTTACCTCATGAATGAAACGCTGAAAAGTTTGGGCAGCGTTGCTGAGGCCGAAAGGCATTTTGAGGTACTCGAATGGGCCGAATGACGTGATGACTGCTGTTTTGGCAATGTCGTCTGGCGCCACAGGTATCTGATGGTAGGCGCGAACTAGGTCGACTTTGCTAAAGACAGGCTTGCCAGCTAAAACTGAGGTCAAGTCGTGCATGTGCGGAATGAGGTATTTATCCAGGACGGTAACTTTGTTAAGTGCCCTGTAGTCACCACAGGGGAGCCAGTCACCGGATTTCTTCGGTACCATGTGTAATGGTGATGCTCATGGACTTCTGGACGGGCGGATGATTCCCAGTTCGAGCATTTGCTCGAAGTCCGCCTCAGCAACTTTGAGCCTGTCCGGGGCTAGTCGGCGAGGGCGGGCCGAAACAGGTGGGCCCTTAGTGCAAATGTACTGCATGACGTTTGACCTCACAGGAGGCAAGTCGTTCAGGACGCGAAGGAGTTAAGGATGCTTGTTGAAAAGTTCTATAAAAGGTTATGAAGCTTGAGGTAGGACACGAATGGCAGTGATAGCAGCCACGTTGGCGCTAGTCCCGATAACATTGAGCTGTGTCCTAGAGTCGATAAGCTCCTTTCTTTTTAACGTCAACGATGAGGTCGAAGCGTTGAAGAAAGTCTATGCCTATGATGGCGAAAGGCATAGCACCGATTATGAAAGGCCAGTGAAAGGCTCGCCGGAGGCCTAAATTGAGCGTTAGCAGCCTTTCGC